TCCCTACAGCAAACATTGAGAGTCACAAGTGATTCAGTTCATTTCATATTGCAAAAGTGAAATATGAAGCCCTTGCAGAGCTGCAGAGTAAAGATCAGCCCAGAATGATTAAGACAATCTCAGCTGCAGAACAAAAAGGGGCACACTGTTACTGTCTGCTCGCAGAGAGATGAACCAGGATTTGGCTGAGAGCAGAAAGAACAGGAAGAATCTCAAGGCACTAAGGATGAAGAACAGAAACTACTGAAAAATACAACAATCCAATAATACAGTGTCACCATGTTAGTCTCCCGCAGCACACGTACAAGAATGTAAAGAACTGGGATCTGCCTGCCTGAGTAGCTAGAGTCTCCAAAAAAATGAACAGAGTTTTAAGCTTTTCCAGAAACACATAGTAGCCTTGGAAAAGCTTGATCCTGGCAAAGAAAGAGCATTACAGAAAGCAGCAAGCAGCCCCAGGGAGACATACCCACCAAACACACTCTGAACATGGGCGGCATGTCCCCAGAGTACAGGGTTGTTGAACCTGTGCATGTCTGAGGGGGAGGTGACAGTGCAGCCTCACGCTATGCAGACTGTGGCTGAGTGCTCTGCAAGTCTGGGGGAGCTCTCCAGGTCTGGACAGATCCCTCAGTGCTGCAGCAGCAGTAGTGTAGCAAAGAGGATCTGGTGCCAGGGAAGTCCGACACTGGTCTTTAATGGCACTGATGGTTGCTCATAGTTTTATCAAATCCTTCTTCAATTTGGCCTGATCAGCTTCTGCAGAATTAGAAGTAGCATCTGCCCATTCAGAGGAGAACAGATGGCATGACTGTCACTAGTGGGAAATGCTGAGAAGGGGCACTGAGAAGACAGTCTGGAGAAGCAAGAACTACCCTCTTAAGCCAGACCAACAGCTTCTGTCTGCAGGAGGAATCATGTACCAATTTACTGGCATCCATATGTTTACAGTGTTTTACAAAAATTAACTCCTAGTTCAGGCTGCTGAGCATGAGCAGTGAATACAGTTCTGGGCACCAGAGCATCCACACCAGATACCAAGAAATGGTTGAAAATCTCACCTTAATAAGTCCCTTGAAGCACCACCAGACCTGGTTCAAGCAAAGTTGCCCTCACACACGTACGCTGCTGTGGTACACACTCCTCCAGGCAGCCACATGAACAGCTGTGCATTCATGTACTGGCACTCCGCCTTCATGCCGGGCTTTCATATACACATGTACTCAGCTCTTACGTATACCTCTTCCTGCTCCCTCCTGTCTCCTTCATTTGTGTATGTCCCAGCTTTAAGTCTCTACAGTGCCCGCCTACTTTGACCAGCCTTAAACTAGAAAACTCCACCCTGCACTAAGCAGCAAAGCATGGGAATGGCAGTTTCTTGCAGAGGCATGAATGACCAAACACTGCTAGTAAAGAAGAAGGGCCAGGAAATTAATGGAGACTGGGAGGTGCTTTTACGTTAAGTTCCATTGCAAGCCCCAAAAGAGATGGCTCTCCGTAAAAGGAGGA